TGCAGTAATACAGTGAAGGGTATGTGGGGTTAAGTCAGTGCCATAGCTTAGATGTGGTGGTTAGTACAAGTATACAGTCATTTAAAAAGGGATGAGTGTCTACATCTTTGAGGCACAGTACCGTGACTATGAAATATTGTGACTTTTTTGTGTTGTTATGATGATTAAATGATTTGACAACACTGATATAAAATACCCAGTGTTGAATTTTAGAAAAGGTAAATAAATGCTACCTTTTCTCCTGGCTGGTAATTCATCTACTGAATGGAAGCTGGCGGTCTTAATTGATCTGTTTTCATTTTAACTTTATTCTTTGCCATCAGTATTGTTAGGAAGAAGGAAATTGTTAAACCCAAAATATTCAGATGTACTAAACTCCTTACAGAACTCAAACTCAGCTGATTTGTTTGGATCTCAGCACAGTCACTGACCATTCCTTGTATAGACATTCAGCTTCTCCTGGGAGAGTTGCTGCTCTCCCAGGGGAAATCATGAGTGTACACGTGTTCAGGCTTTTCCTCTGAGAATAAAAATGGCTACTCCAAGAGAAGAATAACCTGGGAATAACAAGGGTTAAATCACTTGCAAGAGAGTTTCTTCTGGGAGAGTGAATGTCTGTACAGTCTGGGTTAACCAGTCAGGGCTGCCCTGTACACTGTTGCCAGGCAGACTAAGGGAGCCTGCAAAGCATACTGAAATGGGTACACAATGGCAGTTTGAGGCTGACTTCTTAGTTGCATTATTCTCAGTTTCCTAGATGTTGCCAAAATACATTTGGTCACCTTTGATTTTACATAGTAGGTTTTTTATCAGCCTAATTAAACCTTGTTTACTTTTGATATACTACGGTGTGTAAGATCCTTCCTTTTTTATCTGAGGAATCTCTAGGGCATCAGCAGCCATCTTTTTCAACAAGTGTTACACAAATCCAAATCACCACGTGAGTGAACACCTTCCCTTATAAAGAATGCAGCCCTGCCAGATGCAGTTTTCAGCTCCCATTGATGTCAGTAAGACTTGAAGGGACTCAGCACCATGCAGAAAGTGCACACTACATATTCTAAAGATGGACACGTAGTTATTTCCTTTCTCTTTACTAGGTTGTATTTTACCATGGAAATGCTACAGCCTATGTAACTGGCTAACAGATGATTTTTTGATTAGTCTGTAATAGTTTAAATTTTGGGGGCAGGGAGTAACCTTTGAAATTAATTTGATTTTAGAACACCTTTCCCACCCCCCACCCCCCGGAAAGCATTAGTGAATGTAAATCTGTTCTGTCAGATTGCTATAACTTGATAACCTGAGTTGATTACATGTATAAATTGATTTAACAGATATAATTACTCAGGAATTTAACTAACCCAAGTAAACAACTGCTGTAGAACTTGCAGCACTTGTTTTCTAGTACAAGGAAATCAGTTTAATACCTTTTAAAGGGATGAAACTACTGATTTCAATTGCAACTCTGTAAATTTGTGTTGCTCCATACTGAAAGTGTTTATGCTATAGAGGTACAGACATTATGAAACAAACAGAATACAGTCTATAGAAACTACATTTAATGAACATATTACCTTAAAAGTTAAACCTAAATCTGGTAGTTTGTCTGTCAAATACAGAAAGTGTCTTTACATACTTTAAGTTCATTAGAGAGAGAGAAGAATCTGCTAGAGGTAGAAAATTAAAAGTACCAAGAAGGGATTCTCTTGTATTACCTGCATTCTTAAAATAACAGCTTTAAAAGAAACATCGCAGAGAAATCTAGGTCCAGGATAAATTGAAATACAATCTGAGTGAATTTAATAAAGACAACCTTATGATCTTTGGGTCTGCTTCTTGCTCAGAAAATTGGAAAGGTAGCAAAGTTGTTAGTGGATACTTTGGTTTTTCTTTAACAGCAGTTGCTATTGTAATGCTAGAGAGCAGTAAAGGTTTGCAAAATATAGAATTGTGGAATGTTATGAATGTTATAAATGTGTATAGGTTGTGAGAGCACAATACATATTTATTAATGTAACTAATTACCTCTATTGCATTCTGAAAGTGCAGTTTTTCTTATGAAGGTATCATATTTCCTTGTATACTACATGCATCTTTCCCCCCAAAATCAGCCCTTCAAAATTGAAGTGCATTTCTTAAGCAAGGAAGCTGATTGTGCACCAAAACTGAAACATGTAATGGCTTCTACCCTCTATAATGGTGCCCTCTCCTAACCCCAGGACAGGTGGAGTGCATCCTTCAGGATTACATTTCTGAACCCATCATAGCCACTGCCAAATGGGCAGTAGTTTTTGGCTCAACGGCTGAAAGCTGCAGCCAGTTCAGCAGTGGATGTGACAGGGTTACTGCTGTAGTTTTAAAGCTGCAGCTAGAGATTGAGGGAGGCTGAGGAGTGGGTTCTGCCTGAAGCCAGCATTCAATCATGTTATGCTATGGTAGTTAAGATTTCTGGAAAATCATTCTGCCTTCCCTGCCCCCTTCCCCCTCTCCCTCCCCCTCAACAAAGGTCCATGTCGTGTTTGTGGGAAACTGCTATTTCAAATAGGTCTTTATTTTTCCCCCACTAAGAGATGCATGGATTGTAAACTTGAGAATTTAAAGTGGAATATTCCACTATGGTTTCTATTCTATTTAAAAGTTAGCATTCACCTCCCTATACTGGCTGTCCAAATCTGGGAGCAGGGAGAATCTTAGAGTTTTTAAAAAAGTTTCTCAGTAATCCTCACAGAAATTGCAATAATAGGTAAGGGAGAGGATGTGTTCAGTAATTGAAAGGAACTACCTAAATGTATTTGTTTTCACAGGTGATGCATTGCCACTGAAGTAAGAAGAGAACCCACAGCTGAAAACCATTCTTCCCCTTCATTTCTGAAAATTCAGAGCCAGCAGTTTCAACCATCCAAGCCATGCTGGGGAAGCGGGCTTTCTTTGGCAAATGGTTTAGCTTAAGGGGAAAGAAAAAAAATCCTGAAATATTTATTTTCAGGTGATGTTTCCTTTTGTTCTGGAAATTCTCGGCTGGGCAAAAAGCTACATTTAGATGTCGCACATAATGAGGAGGAGATGGCCTTCAGCATGTTTGCCCATTTGTTTCAGCACTTTTTTTTGTTTGCATAAGTATCCATGGCCAGTTAAATGAGAGAGATTTTAAGTTGGGAGAACACTGCATTGACGAAACAACTGAGAGGTGCAGTTAAACATCAGGACAGCTATGAAACGTACCCTTCAATGCACTGAAAAGTATCATTTGCTTGTAAAATGAATTATGTAGCTACTTCCAGACGAGCTGGTTACACAACAGTGAATGCTTCAGAAAAGAGCAGAAATCCTAGCTGTACCGTAAGAAGACAAATGTAAATGGAAGTGCAACTAAGATTTATTTTTTAATTTTTCTTTTGAGTGTGAAGAAGTGTATATTAGTATGAAAAGCAACAACAAATGACTGTGCAGGATAATGAAAAACAAAAAACAGCGGAATACCTGTATTCACCAATGTATTGTTTACAACATGGTACATTTTAACATGGCATATTCCAGCACCTCTTTAGAAGGCCATATGTAGTCTTACACCTTAACACTTTTCCACATTCTTTTAAAGAGTAATATTTAGTTGTGTGAAACTGAGTTAATAGTTATATCTTTACCTACAAATTTGTTATAAGAAGCAATATTTTGTAATATGATAATATCTAAAATTTATTTTTCTCTCTTAGTTTGAACTGCTCTTGTTTAATTACTGTAAGCAACCTTCTTTAAAAAACTCTTAAAGAAGTTTGTAGGACTTGCATACTTCCACTTCAGTTGTGAGATTTATGCTTTTCTTCTGTTAGTTTTTATTATTTCCATTAAGTGGCTACAGAAGTATTTGTACATCATGCCTACCCAACCTACTTGGCTGAAAAAATACTCTTCCTTTTAACCCTGGCTGTATATGGTTCTAAAGGAAGAGGGTTCAGCTTCAGGGCAACACATACCTAAAAAGAAGTCATCCTAAACTGCGTGACTAATAGCTGCAGGCAGCTAATCTTATAATACCATTGTCTTGAAAGATACAGCTATACAGGGTTGTAGGTAATTTTGTACCATGTTAAAGGCTCCATGTTCTGGTTGGCTGACATATGTTCCGGTTACGAAAGTTGAGTCTTGACTAGTGTTGTATTTCACTAAAATGACATGTAGTGTGTTTGAGAAACGCACCACCCCTTTCCTTCTTGGAAAACAATATTTTTGTTCAGTATTCATTTTATGAAAGACAAATTAATGTACTGATTTTCATTAAAGCAGTCAGGAGTTGCTGCTGCTGTATAATGGAATGCATATTCCACTAACTTTTATAACAGGAGATTTAATATCTCGCCATTTACTTTTTTAAATAGCTGTGAGGACAAGAAGACCTACCTTAGCAATCAACTATAACCTAAATGAACCTCTTCTCTTGAACCTTTGGGCTGTTCTGCAGCTCCTGTTCTCAAAAATAAAGATCTGTCATATGTTTTGAAAGAATTTGCCACTCTGCATTTGGCATTAGAGGTATTTTCTTGAGCTTGTTGCCTTATTTATGACAATACTTAAATATTTTCAGTTTCAAAGGAGCACTTCAGAGCAGCATTTTCCAAAGTGGTACTAATTTTGCTGCATGCACCAGCTGTCAGGGCAGCATCCTTCTCTGACAGAACATCAGCTCTGACACATCCAGCATTAGCTTGCCTAGGACTTGGAAACTCAAGTTTTTCCCCTACATTTATTCATTACATGGGTTTAAGCTGTCTTATGCTGGGTTCTGTGGCAATAACAATACTTTCAAAATTTATATTATGTAAACATTTAGCTTAGACCATACAGTTAAGTAGCAGGTATATGTGATGTGTTGTTGTTGACATTCCTAATTTACATCACATTATAAGCTGGTCAAGTGTGCGACATTTTTAGCCATAGCACAAAACAGATTAGAACAATACAATTTGTGAAGCCTGGTGGCTCGATGGATAGCAGCGATGGGATGATACACATTCAGTTTGTTTGCTTCTAAAAAAAGAAATGCAGACTAGACAATGTGTGTTGGGTATTAGCAAAACTTCTGAGTTAGGGGGAAAATAGTGTAATTTAAAAGATGGGAGCAGTGTTCCCCTTCCTTGCACAAAAATTATCTGCGAGTCTCGCCCTATGTTAGAGGTGTTTTAAATAGCTCCTCCTGTGTTGTGGTGCAGAGTTTTCAGATTTACCTACATACGATCTGTCAACTTTGCCTTGGAAACCTATGCATGTTTTTAAAAAAACAAAGTAATCCTGTTCTGGATATATTCTGTACTTGGCTAGTATATTAGGTTCCTGTCAGAACTGAATCTGTAGATGTTGCTTCTTTGTAGGAACATATTTTATGCACTCAGACAAAGCAGCAGCTGTTGTGCCGAGCATAGCAGTTAATATCAAAATGCTGTTTTTAATGAGGAAAGGCAGTGGATGTTCCAAAAAATATAAAAAATAGATTTGAATCTAATTCCCAGCAGTCATTTGACATCATGGTTTCATACAAACCACCAGCACCAGATGTAAAAATTTTATGTAGCCATGTTAAATTTCAAGCATAAAAATGTTCCTAGTGCTTTCTAATGTTGTAGTGGTTTTGTTGTTGCAGTTGGTTATCTAGGAAAAATAATATGGGGAAAATACGACATTCACATGCCAACACATCTGATAATCCCTGCTAGTTCGGTGCATTTCTGACAAAAGGTTGATTAGAACATGTCTGCTCTTTAGGAAATGTCACTGAGGTGCATCGATTCTTTGTCTGTGCAAGGGGGAAAAGGCCTGCATGGAAAATCTCTCTTCAGAGATTTTCAGCATTTGCTGTTCATGGTTGTGCTACTTCATTGTGGCTACATTACTCTGTTACTAGCCACACATTTTTGCAGCACTAAGATTTTGTGCACTCCATGTCAAGGAAACTTGCTTGTTTACTCTAATCAAAGCTGTTTGGTGAAATGAAATGGGTTCAGTGGTGAAGGGAAGTGTAAGGACTTGGAACTTCCCAATATAGAATATATAACGTAAATGCAGGAACACTGAGCACAGTCTGTCCTTTGGGAAATAAGACATTTTCATTGGTGGGAACAAAGAATGTATTTTATTTCTACAAACAACCAAAATGTAAACAGCGGTACCTTTTGAGCAGGAACGGCATTAGCATTTACTTGAATTTCTGTACTGCCCTCACAAGTTTCCAAAATCCATTAGAATTACTTACCTTTTTCACTTCTGCTTAGTATTTAGGTAAAATTATTTATTTTAGCCTAGATGATTTTTTTTCCTGAAACATTACCTTGGACATTTTTAAAAATCCAGCAGCCTAGATTTTGCAGTATACACCTCTAGAATAAGTTACCATGGTTATATGTAGTGTCCTTTGATACCCATATCAGAGATTGGGGGCCAACACCTATTTTACTTTATTCATTGTATAAAATCATTTTGTGTATTGGCATAATATCCTGTAAAAACCAAAAGTCTTCAAATCCAGAGAGGCCATTACTGAAATCCAATCAAGAAGTAGAAGCTTTCAATAGTTAACGTTACCTTTATTCCATTTCTTGCACTGAGTTTTAAGAGTGTCATTATAAATCAAGGCTACTTGCATTTGTATGCAGATTCTATTTTCATTGCAATACTTATGCAATTGCTTAAACCTGTATTAACTGGTATTGATTCCATAAGCATGAATGTGGTGTTGGATGTAGTGTGTTAGAGAATCAGATCAGAACAAGCAAAGCTTGTTGGAAAAAGAAGCAGTTGAAGATGGAAGCACCTTACTGATAGAGCATGTTGCGTATGCTGAATGCTACTGGAGCACAGAGACAGTAGTTCATTCTAAACTTTATTGCAAAGTGCTCTTTGGTATAGTGAAGCACATTGTCCTGTTTATTGCTATGTAAGGCTGTATGAAGTACAGCAATGGCTGTTTTTATCCTATAAATGTACTGTAATTTAAAGTTTTCCTACAAAATAAATTTATATTTAAATTGCTAAAACGTACTTAAACATTAGAATTTTTAGGAAGGGAAAGGTGGGTATGCCAATATATTTTTGGGGTTATTATATAGATTTGTTTTGCACTGCCCATTCACTCTGTTCATCCAGGAGTCCAGCTTTGACTGGCCATATCTGCAGTCTGGCAGTGATGGATCTTTATTGTAATTCATATCTTTTAAATATATTTGGTCCTGCTCCTCAGAATTTGACAGGAATGGTCTTCCCTCTGTTCTCCAGTATGGATGCTCAGATGCAATCTAATATGGTGAGTGTACTACTAGGCATGTGAGGAAGGACCTGTCTAAAGCCAGTATCTAAGACAATTAGCAAGCAGTGTATCACTTAAAAAAACAAACAAACAAAAAACCAAGAAAAATGTTGATTGTCCTGGTAAGTAGGGTGGCAGCAAATATAAAGCACAGCACCAAGCCTTTGACTTCTAAATAAAACTCATGGTTTTTCAGTCAGGTAGCTTTGCCTCCTTTGGTAATTCCAAGGCTTCTACAGCAAGTAATATACCCTAGAATGGCTTGGTTTTTCCGAGTCTTTGCATCCTTCTAGGGGACACACTGTTCCTCTAGCATGAATAGTGGAAAGGTGAGTGATATTAAAGATGCTCATTTAGCACCTCCAAGCGTACCTATGATTGCTACTTACCTATTTACATACAAATTTCATCTTGTGTGTTCCTTAGTAGAGAAGCACAACATGAAATGTATGAAATGCAGGAGGTTGCAAATCACTTTGCATGTATGAAACCATTAAAGGGTTAATCAAACTGATTTCTTTTTAGCTTATTTGAATAAATGAGAAATTTATCCAATGGAAAACTGATTTGACATCGACTAGCTTTGTGCAATATTGTAAGTAGAATCAAACACTAGCACACAGTGCTTGGCTTTAAGAAAGTCCTTTAACGGTTATATTTAAGCGGACATTTTAAAAGCACATTTTATTGTAAAACTACTCCTGCAAATTTACAATACTTAATAATGCTCCATGTTCTAAAGTATTATGGAACAAATGTAAAAATGTAAAAACTAAGCAAGCATTTCTAGCAATACATGAAAACTAAAACAATTGTTTTAACTGTTTGCCTTTGTTATTTTACTTTAGTGAAACTTTTCTGCAATGTAAGTTTATTGCTGTGTATTTCATGTTTTTTACTATGATGACTTCAAAGTTAAAACCTGTACACACAATACTGAAATCACCTTCCTTGTACATGCGATGTAACAACATACTCACAGTTTTGGTGCTTAAAAATGATTCCTTTTTTCTTCAATAAAGGATATTTATTTGAATGCTGCCTCTTGTTTTATGCCAGGTTGCTTCCCTTCCATTCCTTTGGTCCAACTGTAACATGATTTGGTTTCTCTGGTAAGGTGTTTTGTCTTTTGGCTGGCTGGGGGGGGTGCTATTTCAACAGCTCTTGGTAAAATAAACTTCGAAACCCACGTCAGTGTTAAATTGCAGGCTTTGTGTGTTTTCCTTTAAACAATATGATGGCAGTAGCAATGGTTTGAAAGGTGGATTTTATAAAAGCAGCAGGTTAATACATTTCTACTTGGATATAAGTTCCTCTCCTAATCAAAAGGCAAAAACACTGCATGAATAAGAGTAGAAAACTGAAACCAAAAAATTTGCCAGTAGAAGAGATGGCAGTTTGGCACCTCTCTGTAACCCTGCAAGGTTTGTCCTAAAAGCATCAGCTGCTCTAGAAAATTTTGCATTTTATCCCTTATCCACTCATGCAGTGAGGTGGTGGTAGTGGAAAAAGAACAAGCCTCCAAATAAACTTGCTTGATTTAAAAAATACCTGAGTTACAAATGAAATGAGAGCTTAAATATAAAAACAGGTCTTCATGATTTCTATACAGTTTACCTTGGTTTTTGGAATAAGTACAACATAATCTCATACAAACAACCCATAGACCAGTTCAGTCTCTCAGTTACGATGTGGGTATCCTAATAATGTAGTAGGCTGCGTAACTCCACTTTCTATTGTTGTTTGGCATTATTCTAAATTACATACAAACACGTTAACATTTAAAGGGGAAATTGCAAGGTCAAACAGATTAACCTGAGCAGTGTGGCCCTGAGAAACATGCAACATTTAAAGGAAGAAAAACTACAAGATAATAACTACTTGTTGGTGATTCACTGTGTCAGTTCTTCCAAAATCTATAAAATAAAACATCAAGTTGTGATGTCTGGCAACAACAGCATACCTAAAGTAAGCTTCCTTCACACCAGTCAGTATGTCCAGTGTTGGGAGTACCTGGGGAAAGGAGAGAAGTTTGTTAAACCCATTGCATGTTCCTTAGTACTGCTGCTCATGTTCCCCATGGTTGAGACCAACCTGTCATGTTACTGGCTAGTACCACTGCAGGACGTTTCATGCTAAACACAAGACATGTAAGGCAAATTCCATGCAAGCCAATAAACATTTCACCAGCAGCGGTGAGTCTGACCACGCTGCTGCACAGCAGTTGTAAGCAGCGAGCCAAAGCTTTAGCCAACACAACTGCTCTTCTACACAGTTCTGGTAATTATGGTCTACTCTGCCAAGTGCTGCTAGTGTAACTGCATTGGGAGTTACCCATCAAAAGCGCATATTCTAATAATCCTTTGCCATGTTGTTTGCAGAGATGACTTCACCCCTTCTCAGGGTCAAGCTGCATCTCCAATTGGCATTTCAGCTGCAAAATCTGTGGTCTAGATTATATTTTGAAGGTGCAGTCAGGAACCCTACCTTATTCACTGTAACATGGTGAGCTTCTGTTTGCTTTGGACACTAGTATCCAAGCCTATTTGTAATTGCTGGTGTTGCTTCCTATCACCATCTCTTCAGACACTGAGGCTATGGACAGATACTATACATAAACTGATTTAAGTGATCAGAAACTGGTTTAAACCTGTAACAACAGCGGTTCAGTGCACATAAACCAGTTTCAAAATGGCTAAAACTGGTTTGAGATAAACCTGGTTGCAGTATCAGACTTAATTGATTTGGGTTAAATTCATTTATGCAATGTCTGCCCCAGACCCCTTCCTGATTTAAGTTGAACCAGATTCCCCCAGCATCCCAGCAAGCTCTCTGGGCTGGGCTCTCTGCTCCCCGGCTGGAGCTGTGGCAGAAACTGCAGGTGTCTGCCTGGCTTCCCCCTGCTACTCCACCTCCCTTCATGACTCCCTGCTCAAGCAGGGCTTGCTCCCTTCCTGAGGGGCCTGGCCACACCCCCTACCCCCCAGCTCAGTATTGTGGAAAGGAAGGAAGGGCTGCTCTACCATCCCCTGCCTTCTAGCCTGACCCACTGAAGGCATGTGCCTGCATTTCTGGAATGTCTGTATCCTTACAAACTGGTTTAGTCTAGCCAGGTCAGACTAACCTGCAAAGACTGAATCAATTCAGGCTCAGGCTTTTTGACTGTCTGTCCCTAGCCTGAATCTCAAGAATAACTAACTGTTACTTTTTTCTACAGCTTGTGCAAATTCCATGCCTTATTCTCCATCCTAATTTCCCTAATACTCGCCCACACCTTTTTTGCCATTGTTGTGCTGCTCCAGGGGCCTACACCTTTCCTCTGTAATGCAATCAACACACTGCACATGAAACATGGTCTTCCTTTCCTAACATGCCATTCCATTCCTTCCTGTTCACATCTCTCTCTTGGCTTTCAGTATCATTCCACATCCCCATTCTCACTAAATGCAAACAAACCATTTGGCTTCATTTTCCAAAACCATCTCCCATAGTATCCTGTTTTGCTATCAATGTGCACAGTACTTCACACCTCCCAGACCATCTCCACTCCATTCCTCACTTCTACATTAGCAGCAGCAGCATTTAAAATTCCACAGAAGAACAAAACCTGGAAGCCAAATCTTCATGCAGCTTGTGCAACCCAACAACAGTGCTTGTAATTGTCACTTTTTTGGTTAATTTAGATTTAATCTGAGCTGGCTTCACTAGGAATTTGCCAAATCTTCAGGGCAAGGACCTTACAATGCCCTACATTGTTTAAGCAGTGCCATTAATGTGCACAGCCTTTCCCAGCTAATATGTGTATGGTGGAAGGAATGTTATACTTTGTATGTGTGTTTGCAAAGTACCATACACATTGCATTAGCTAAACTAGGGCTATCCAACTTCTGGGCAGCTGGGGGTTGCATGTTGGGAAGGCCACAGACCCCAGAGGCATGGGTAGGTGGTGTCCTCCCCCACCAACTCTTTCCCCACCATGCAGAATGTCCAGCACTGCTCCCCCTCCCCCCAAGCATGTGCACAGTATAAGCAGTCTTACCATGGCACAGGCACCTCAGCTCAACTCTCCCCACAAATCCCAGCTGCATATACCACCCTACCAGTGTGGGCAGCCCAGCTCCCTTTACCATGCATGCAGCTTGGGCACTCCAGCCCCCTCCTGGACACCAGGAAAGGAGCAAATGGGGTGGGGAGTGAGACAGGCAGGAATCTGGGGACTGCATGCCAAACCTTCAAAGGCCAGTTTGACAGCCCTGATCTAAACAATACAGGAGGGCCTTGTAAGGGTTGATCCCAGGAATCAGCTTTAAGTATTATAATTAAATATCCATACAGTGACAATCTTTTTTGACTCCTAGTGAAACTGGATTGAACTGAGGTTTGGATAAACAATTTGGTGGTGGACACATTTAACCACTGCTCTGGAACCTCCTGATAGTTAAGTTTCCTCTGAGAGCTTTGGACTCCCCAGCTACTGCTAACATGCACACCTGGGCAATGGAGTAGGTCAGGGATTGTCAACCGGGGGTACATGTACCACCAGGGGTACTTAGAAAGGTATTTGGGGGGTACACAGGAGCGGGCGGATGGACAGGGACAAAACGTGTTCCGGGGTGTGGCAGTGGCATTTCCCCCAGTGTGTTCACCTTTTACCTACACGGCACACTGGTGCCTCCCTGCCCCCAACCCCAGCTCACTCTCCTGATTGATTGCCACAAGGGTCTCAACGGTGTGTGTGTGGGGGGGGGGAATAAGTGTGTATCTATGCCACCTCCCAGGAACAGGGCTGGGAGGGCGAGAGGTCATGGGGGGCGAGCAGTGCTGGGTGGGGGGGTCACCACTATACTCCATTGCTTTCCCACGGCTGGTTGCAGATGCAGTTCCATGGGCTGCTGACTGGCAGAGTGGTGGGTGGCAGTGGTGGCTGTGTGCAAACACCAACACCACACCACACACCCCTTGCATCTGGCTGCCGCCACCAGAAGCGGTACACCTGCTAAAAAAGGCTGAAAAGCTAAGGCAGGCCTGGAAATCAAACTGGCAACCAGTATAAAGGACAACAAAAAGTCCTTCTACAGATACATATGGAGCAAGAAAAAAATAGGGCTCCACTCTGGGATCTCTACTGAATACCCAGGGGCAGCCCACAGTTGCTGCACGCAAAAAGGCAGAACTCCTAAATACATACTTTGCATTGGTAATCCTGAAGCCCAACGGGGGTTGCTTATTTGACCAGAGACCCAGGGAACAAAGGGAAGGTAACAACCTACATAAAATCAGCCCAGAACAGGTGAAGGATCTTTTACAAAGCTTGGACATCTTCAAGTCCACTGGACCAAACTACCTGCACCCAAGTGTCCTGAAAGAACTGGCCGAACTTATAGCAGCACCATTGGCCAAGCTATTTGAAGAATCATGGAACTCAGGAGTGGTCCCAGATGACTGGAAGAGGGCCTATGTGGTGCCCATCTTTAAGAAAGGGAAAAAGGATGACCCTGCAAACCACAAGCCAGTCTGACCTCGGTCCCAGGTAACATCATTGAAAAGTTGGTTAAGGAGGCCATCAACTACAAGCTGATAACAGATGGGGTGCTAAACAGCAACCAGCACAGATCTGTTGAGGGCAGATCATGCCTGACGAACCTTGTGTCCTTCTGTGACCACGTCACTAAACATCTGGATGAAGGACATGAAGTTGACATCATCTACTTAGACTTCAGTAAAGCTTTTGACTCTGTCTCCCATGGGATTCTCTCTAATAAACTGGAAAGTACTGGGCTGGACCAGTCTACAGTGAAGTGGGTGAACAACTGGCTCAGAGGCCGCTCCCAGATGGTGGTGATTCATGGAATGGCCTCATCGTGGAGGGCCATCTCCAGTGGGATCCCCCAGGGATCGGTGCTCAGACCTATGCTATTCAATATATTCATTATCGATTTGGATGAAGGGGTAGAAAGTGCAATGATTAAGTTTGCACATGATCCCAAGCTGTAGGGCAACGTGGGCACACCAGAGGATAGGGCAAAGATCCAGGAGGACC